ATGACGAAGACGACTTCACCATCTAGTACCAGCGTCCCACCGCTCCCACCAAAAGAGTTTCCTTTAGGGATTCCTCATCCCAGGGGGAGCAAAAGGAAGAAGAACCCGCTCCAAAAGCTAACTAGGGCCCTAAGTCGAAAGGCAAAGGCGTCGCTGAAGAAAGGAACCTCAAGGTATTATTCAATCCTCTCGAACCCTTATATGAAGAGTCATCATCTCAAGTAACCGTCACCTTCCTGTACCAACTTGCTATTCCTTCAACTACCTGTGGTCGGCTAGAGGAATGGGTCCCTGAGAACCCAACCCCCAACACTCCTAGCAACCAACAGATGACTCAGCTCAGGGAGTGACTTGACCAAACTAGAGTCAAAATCCCTCTTCGTACCTTTAGTTGTGGCGAGTTTGACTTCCTGACCGAAGCTGAAAGACTCAAGGCCCTAAGAGCTGAGGAAGAACTTGCTCTCCAAAAGAAGCAGATTGAGGACAACTTAAAGCTAGCCAAGTCTTTATGTACAAAAGTTCTTCCCAAGAGAAAATCCAAAAAGACGGTGAACGCTGTCCAGGCCCAGGCTAAGCTTCTGTCTATTGTAGAGGTTGAACGTGAAAGAACCTAAAGCTGGCCGAACGCGACAAGCGCTGGAGCGAAGCTAGTATCAACAAGAGGATCAGCCCTCACCCGATCAACAGCGTCAGCATCAACGGACGAACAAAATACGATAGGTTGCTGCCCTCCATGCTCATCACCAGGGATAATCTCGAGGCCGTGACCGAGAATCCTTCCTACCTTTGTGAATATGGTTATAGCGAATGGCTGGAGATCCGACAAGCCATTCAGCATACAAAGTCCAGACATAAGCTGATTATCGAAGACATCATCAGCGAGTTGATCAAGAAGGTGTCCAGGTACGTAGCAGTCCCTGAAAATCCCTGAAAGGCCTACGCTAAAGAAAGGTGGAAGAGGAAAAAGACCTTCAAGCCCTAATGATGGACCATCCCTGAGGAATGAACATGAAACAAAGTTCTCCTTGGAAGAAGTCCTGAAGGCTTCAAAGAAGCCAAACATCTCTATGCTGAATCTCTTGCTGCCAACGAAGGGTCCTTATATACCCAACACTGTGCATGCTAAGCCTGAGTTAGGACTTATTCCTTGACTATGATGGCGAAGTGAAGTTTCAAAGAATGTTTGAGTTACATTTATGCCCTATGGAACACCTCGGATATCTCATGTTCTGGCTAGATGATGACTTTAGAGGTGAAATGCTGGACCGCAAGATAAGAAGGGAGTTTCTACGTCAAAAGGAGCTTGTTGAAAATGTACCAGGTTTCATCAATGAGCGACTTAGACTAGTTTCTTTCCTTTGTAATTTTTCCATTCACTATAAACTATATCCTATGTATACTTTCAGTGTTAAATCTTATATCTTGTAAGTTTTAGACATGTATTGAACATCTTATAATATTTTCCTTGAAATTAATATAAGTATTTTTGTGCATCACTGAAAAAGATCCTTGAAAAGAGTAATAGGGACACAAGTCTATGAGTTCCAGTGTTACTCATACATTCACTGACAATCTATAAGTCAGTGAACATGCTTTCAGTTTCCCTTCTTTTAATTTTTTTTAGACTTGTAACTTAAGAAAATTTTCTAAGTAAAGACTGACTCACTGAAAAAAATCCCAAAATAGTTAAAAGGGACATGTACTTTATATACAACTTTTCCTTACTGTTAATTGATAAGACAACTTTCTTTATGTTGCCTTGTTATCATCAAATAGGGGGAGATCGTTGATCCTCTCTCTCAGTGATTTGATGATAATCTATTTTACCTTATATGAAGTATTTATGTTTCTGTTTTTCAGTTCCAGCGATCATCACAGAGTCTGTTCATTGATCGCTGAGAACATGTAATGTATATCCGTCAGCGACAGCAATACTTCAAGAAGACAAAACTCACACCAAATAACATTCAACGAAAGTCGGAGACTGAAACTAAAGATTAGGGACTAGCGAGTTCGTGATCTGAAGCGACATTCAGTGATTACAACCTGGTCTACATATGTGTGAAGACTGCCCCGGGCCTCAGCGAATGTTGAAGAGACCTTTAGGTTATTCCAGCATTCAGCGGTCAAAAGAAGCTTGTTGAGCACGATTGTTTTTGTCTTGTCCTTATACACACTAAGGACAAACCCATACTCTTTCTAGAGCATAGTACGGTATGGAACCGATTAGTTGACTCTACTATCCACCAAATCCATGAAAGGATGTCTGCTCATGAATAGGCTTTTGTACTATTCACTGTAGCAAAGGACAAGTCTTTCTCTAAAGGCTTGACGCATGTTCAAACCCTACTGCATTGCATTAAATGTGCATTTAATGCAATGAGTATAAATAGATGTGTTCTATCTCATTGTAGAGATACATCTTGAACCCTAACTTACGTTCATACGTGAAAGAACACACATCTGAAGAACACATTACAATTATCTTCAAAAGCAAGTTAGAATCCCTTTATAGTATTCTAAATAGTTCTTACCCAGAAAGAACTTACTTTTTTCTAAGTCTTAAACAACAAATCATTTCTCTTTGCTAAGAATTAGTGTGTAATTTAGATTGTTTAGATAGTTTATCTTTACCTTATCTTTTTTGCAAACAATCTTGTAAAATCTGTATTGATCCTTCTTTATCAATATACATTTTAAATTAGAAAAGTTTACTGTGTTTCTACAAACTGTTATACACATCATGTAGACCCTAACGGGATCAACAACTTGGTGCGTTCTTTGATTGCAAATTGCATCCACAATATTTTTGTTGACCTATAGTCAAAGCATCAGGATCAATAGGATTAGCAAATTTATCTAAGGGCCCTAAAGATGTTGCCTTCTTTCTCTTGTGACCCACATTTACCTCATTTCTATTTCAACTTCTACCCTTATTTCTTTTTCCCGAATTCTATTCTATACTTTCTTCTCTTTTGGCTTCTCAAGTAACATAACATACACATCTTTATCTTCTTTGCTAGCTTTCTTACATTTGGCGACACCCTTCCATTTTATTCCCGTCATGTGGTACTTTAACCTTGTGATTTCCGCTCTACACATAAACCCGCATAAGTTACATTTAGTTGCATCTTTATTTGTAGGGTCACACAAAGTACCATAGTTCCATCCCGCATCATCCGAACTCCATTTCAAGGATGTCTCTATACAAGAACTTGCTTCAGCTGTCGCGGTCGGTTTGGCCGGTCCATTCAAATTAGAATCCCTACTCCCACTGGCCATCATTAGGCATTTAGCTAAAACTATAGTGACATTTGCAAAACCTGTACAAATGAAAAGCAGATGAAAACAGTAAATGAAAAAATGAAGCTCATATTAGAATAATTGTCGTATCAATTTTCTGAAAGCTAAAACCATACTGTTAATCTGTCACTACGACCATATTGTCAATCTGTTACTATGACCATATTTTCATACACAAATACACTCATATAGTCATACAACTCATATGGTACCTAACAAAATTTGACACATAATTGGATACAAGATCACCTGTTCTGTTGTGTTATAAAACCATAATTGGATACAGAACCACCTGTTATGTTCCTCAAAGCTAAAACCATATTGTCATATACAACTTATATTATGTAAACATGGTCTAATGATAGATTGATGAAGTTCGTCCTATTTTACAACTCCCCTAAGTTGGCAAAAGTAAAGTTCAAATCGTGATTCAGAGTTAAAACCATTAAACAAACTCCATTTCAGATTACCTTGTGATCAGTGACACACTAACACTATGCAAGTATATGATAAACTCAATAAAAAATAAGTAGAACAAAAAACATATCTCATAATTTAATAAAATGATTTTATGATAGTTTATGTAAAGTTGTTAAAGGCATTCACACCTATTTAAAGTGTGTTAGCCTGTTAGGTGGAATTAGTTAGTAATTGGTTGTAACTTGTAATTAGTTGTTTATAGCTAAACCTGTTAAGCCTTGTATATAAACATGTGCTCACGTGATTCAAAAATCAGAAGGTGATTCAAAATTCGTGACCAATTTTGAACATGTAATTAAGAAGTTCAAGAAATCAGAAGTTTAAGAAGTTCAAATAGGTGATTCAGAAATCGGGACCAACTTCGTACAGGTGATTCAGAAATCAGAAGGATCAAGAAGAAAAGGTTGATTCAAAATACAAGTGTTCAAATCGTGTTCAAAACTTCAAATTGAAGTCTTCATGCCTGTCGTATGCTTAGAGCGTGAGCGTGACACCGTGAGAGTGAGAAGTAAAATTTAGGTCTTTTTTTACGGTTTAATATGTACAAGGTTAAATTTAGTTATTTACATTAATTGCTACTAGGTCTTAAAAATTACACCCCAAGCCTTGTAACGCCTTAATGTGTAACGCCATTTAATGCCATAATGTATCATAGCGCGTCATAATAGGATCCATACCGTATGTCCATGTCAATAGGGTTAACGTGGCGGCAAGGTGACGTCACCACGTTTTTTAGAACCTTGATATTATGTATATATACACATGAGTTTGATTTTAATCAAGATTTGGATTTGATTTATGTGTACATATATATTAGTTAGGGTTCTACTCCATTAATTTGATATTTAGATTTGGAATTTTAAATTGATTTCTATTTTGATGTGTGTTTTGGTCATAGAAGACAATGTAAACTATAGTTTTTTATTGGGTAAAAGACAGAAAATCAATAAAAGAACGAAAACACCATTCATTTAACAGAATTGTCTCAACAAGTGATATAGAAAGAACGACCAAGTCCAAACATTTTACAGAAATCACGATGATCATCTTGTAATTTCAAAATATACAACTTACTCTAAATTGTGTGTTGTGTTTGAATACATTTATTTATATTTATTTATTATATATGTTTAGTGCGCGTAGTTTTCGATTCGCGGGCCAATAAATTTTGAATTCATAATATAAGGAAGACGAAACGAAACCCTAAAATCACAATTCTCAGATATATTCATTATCCTCCACCACAGAAATTGAAAATCGTCAATAACCCTAACAAATTTTCTAAACCTTTCATCTTCAATCCCAAACCCTCGCTCTCATCTCACAAAACACTGAATTCATGGCAAAAAAGAAAGCAGACAGCAAGCCCCACAAACCCCAAGACAAAACCCATTATCATCACCATCATCATCATCAGACGATGGCCGACGCTGCTGCTTCTGAGAATTCTCAGCTTGATAATTTGAAATCACTCAACGCAATGTTGGTTAAAGAGACCGCTGTGCTCCGTCAACAGGTTGATTCGTTAGTTCAGTCAAAAGGGTATTTGGAATCTGAGTTGAATCGGTCTGCAATGGATAACGCTTCGTTGCAGTCACAGATGAATGCGTTGGCTGAACAGGTGTTGATGGTGGAGATTGAGAAGGGATTGGTGTCGATATTTGTGACTTCACATGTGAATCAACTGGCGGAGGTTGTTGGGAAAGAGATGGATGGATTTTGTAGAGAAAGGGTTGTAATGGAGGCGAGAATCGAGAATTTTAAGGGCGATATGAAAAGGGTTTTAGAGGAGAAGAGTGAGATTGAGAAATCGAAGGGCGAGAAAGAATCAGAGATTGGGGATTTGAACACAAGATTAGAACAACTTATGGCTGAGATCAACAACGAGAAGGCTGTTGTGTCTCGTGTTTGTGATGAAAAGGATGAAATTAGGGTTCAATTGGATGCTAGAATTCAAGAGGTGAATGAGTTGCAATTGAAGGTGACTCAAGCAGACAAAAGGGAAGCTATGATTTCGCAGGATCTTACAGAATTAAAGGCTAACTATGATAGGTTAGTTGAGGAAAACACAGCCAGTGAGAGACGAATTGAATCTATATTGGCTGAAAAGGACTCAATTGAGACTAATGTGGTTGAGTTGAACATGCTGGTTGATGATTCGAAGCAAAAAATTGCGGAGCTACTCGAACAGAAAACGGCCATCGAAGGTGAGAAGAAAAAGCAAGAAAGAGAGAATGATGAGTTGCAAACTGAAGTGGGAAAACTCGATGATTTGGTACAAAGTATGAGAATCAAGGAGGGAGCATTGCTTGAGAAACTTGCTGATTTGGAGAAGAGATATGCTGAAAGTTCCAGCAAGGAGATGGATATGAAGACGGAAATAGATAGATTTGTAGAAGAAAAGAAAGAAACCGAAGAACGAATTAGCAATCTGGTTAATGAGAAGAGTTTGGTGGTGAAAGATTTGGAGGATGCCATGAAAGAGTTAGAGCACCAGAAGCTTGCAATTGAGAAGATAGTTCAGAATAAAACTGAAATTGAGGATGCCAAGATTCAAGGGGAGACTGAAGGGTTGAAGATGAAGGAACAATTGATTGAGTTTCAAGAAAAAATTTCGTCACTGGAAAACTCTAAATTGGATCAAAATGAAAAACTTGAGCAATTGCAGTTTGAAATTAGCCACTACAAAGCTTCATTTGATCGAGTTAAGATAGAGAGAGATGAAGCTCAAAAGGGTCTTGAAGAAGAAAAAACCATCACAACAGATTACAAACAGAGGATTATAGGTTTTGAAAAGGAAATCGAAGATCTGAATGAAGAATTAGGGAAGATGACAACTGCAAACGGGAAACATTTAGAAGAGAAAAACGAGTTGGAGAACCGTTGTGCATCGTTGGTGGAAAAAGTAGCTTCATTAGAGGCAGAACATGCGGAAGCCCGAACAGAATGTGATGTTACAAAGGATAAATTAGGATTAGCCGAAGCTAAATCGAACAGGGTTTTGAAAATCTTGAAGAGAACAGTGTCGGATAGTGTTGAAACCAGTGATTTTGATCAAGAAAACGGTATGGATGAAGAGATGAAAGATCATGTAACAGATCTTGAAGCAATCAAGGGAGCTTTCAAGGATAAAGCAAATAGAATAGAAGATATGAAGATGCAACTTGAATTGTTTAAAAACTCCGCTGCTGAAGCCCATAAAGAGAAGAGCTTTTGGACGATGGTGTCATCTGCAACCACGCTTTTAGCTGCTGCTGTTTCTGTGGCGTATGTCGCTCGAGCACACTGATTCGATCCAAGTTTTGAGGTCAATGGCTGATGTTTCTGTGGTGTTTTTAAGGTCCACTTGATCCTTATGCTTAAGCATTGTTACTGAAATGGGTTTTTTGTTTTGTTTCAGATATCTTGCTTTTGGTAAAATAAAATATGTTTGAGGAGTTGGATCAAATTGATTTCTAACTTTGCAATTTGTTCATGAGATGAGTTCTGGGTTTGAAAATTACAACTATTAATCTGATATGGTTACCATGTTATGGATGATTGAATGCTGCTAATGTTTCTTTCTCTGAATGATTGAATGCTGCTAATGTTTCTTTCACAACCATATCACTATTGTTATTGTTGTTATGAAGATTGTTTTTGGCTTCTAGAAAAGGGTCGGCTAAAATTAGCCAGCCTTATAAGTCGTCACAAAAAGACACGAATATCTTTCATCACGTCGGATACCAAACTTGCCATATTTCATGATTTACGAAAATATTTTATTCTCATGACCTTAGCTAATTATATTATACCTAAGGTTAAATATATTGATTATTTAAAACTCAAACAATATGTCAACGAAAAGTTTGAAGATCTGTTTTCCAAAAAAGGGGGTCACAAAAGCATCATCTACTCTCGTTAATATATACATACACCCATATCTTTCATAAATTTTTATCTTCTTAGCGATATAGATTTCAGGATTTATTTACATCTTTCATCATTTCTTATAGCCACGGCCATTCTGTAATCTAGGACTCTCGTCAATGTAAGATGATTAAAACAACACCACAATGCAAGATACGAAAATACTCAAAATCTCACCTCAAATACGCTTTGTTATTTCTTTTATATATATATATATATAGGATTTTTCTATTTATAGATATAAAAGTTTATGTCATGATTTGTTAAATTTCTTTATTGAGGATTTCTCAAAACACATTTTTTTAACCAAGTAAACCTTTTAATTATCGAAGTTACCCCCTCCTTCCTTCCTTCCTTTCTTTCTTATAGTCATTTTTATTCTCAAATCTAATATTTTATCATCAACGTCAACGTGGGATGATTAAATCAACACCATAATGCAATATTTGAAAACTAAAGATTTATTCTACTTATAATAAATAAAAAACAATCAATCAATTGTTCTTATATAATCTATTGGTACAGCCCTCATGTGCAGGGACGGACACAGGTGGTTTAAGTGGCGGCACGGGCCACTGCTTGATTCATCCGTCGTAGTGTAAAATTTTATATGGTCGTGAAAAGTGCTAATGTATCAAATTGTTGTATGTCATCGTATATATTTTGAAACTACAATGAGAACACAATTTTTCTTTAGTAGAGTTCGTTTGCAAGTCTTTTCTTCTACCCAAACCCAAGTTTTAAACATGTTAATATCATGTTCTTACTTTTTGGCTTTTAATTTTAAATTTATTATGTTTCTGAATTTTTTTACAATAAAAGACTTGAATACAGAATCCCACATATGAAACTCAATGAACTAACCAACAGACCAATGATGATTTGGTGAAAGATATCTCTATATTTGTTTCTTATAGTTAAATGGTACCACCACTTGAAAACATTTACAGGTTGTCTCTACTCCTGTGTTGACACAAAAGCACCTACCCCCCTTTCATATACTCGCTTCATATTTTCCATTATGCATCATTTCACCAATGTGGGATCATGGAACTTTTTTCGCAAAAACAGAATGTACCAAATGAGCCAACCTCATGAGTTAACATAAAAACACTCATCCCTCCTTTAATAGTATACCTCATCTTGTCAAATCATCATCTTTTGTTTCTCTTTTAATATATACATATATATATATATATGTGTGTATATATATATATATATAATGATAATTGATCATTGATTATTTATATTGAAACTAATAATTAAGTTCTATAAAGATTTACTATTTATTCAAAGTGCTAGAGGACAAACATGATTCATATATCCAAATGAACCGTTTGATTTCCATCATTTTGCTTTAATCCAAAACTTGAAGGCAAATGTAGCATATTTAACCAACCAACTTTAACTTTCAAGTATTCCAAACCCTTTATAATATATATATATATATATATATATATATATATATATATATATAGGTGTTGGACCCGTTAGGGTCTACAAGATTTGTATAACAGTTTGTAGAAGGGGGGAGGGGGGGATGAATACAAACACAGTAAACTTTTCAAATTTAAAATATATATTGATAAAGAAGATCAATAAAGATTTTACAAGATTGTTTGCGGAAAGATAAAGTAAATAAAACATATCTAAACAATCTAAAGTTACACACTAGTTCTTAGCAAACAAAGAAAATATTTGCTGTAAAAGACTTAGAAGAAAGTAAGTTCTATCTGGGTAAGTACTATTTAGAATACAATAACGGGATTCTAACTTGCTCTTGAAGAAGAACGTATTGTGTTCTTAGATATGTGTTCTTTTACTTATGAACGTGAGTTAGGGTTCGAGCGTAAGTAAGAGTCAAGAGTATCTCTGCATGGAGATAGAACACATCTATTTATACCCATTCCATTAAATACACATTTAATGCAACGTGGTAGGGTTAGAACACGTGTCACGCCTTTAGAGAAAGACTTGTCATTTACTACAGTGAATAGTACAAAAGCCTATTCATGAGCAGACATCCTTTCACAAAGTTGGTGGGTAGTAGAGTCAACTAATCGACTCCTTACCATACTATACTTTGGAAAGGGTATGAGTTTGTCCTTTGTGTATATAAGGACAAGACAAAAGAAATCGTGCTCAACAAGCTTCTTTTGATCGCTGAATGCTGGAATAACCTGAAGGTCTCTTCAACATTCGTTGAGCCTTGGGCAGTGTTCACACATATGTAGACCATGTTGTAATCACTGAATACCGCTTCAGATCACGTACTCGCCAATCTCTAATCTTCAGTTTCAGTCTTCGACTTTCGTTGAAGGTTCTTTGGTGTGAATTTTGTCTTCTTGAAGTATTGCTGTCGCTGATGGATTTACAATGCATGTTCTCAGCGATCACTGAACAGACTCAGTGATGATCGCTGGAACTGAAAGACAAAAACATAAAATACTTCGTATAAGGTAAAAGGGATTATCATCAAATCATTGAGAGAGAGGATCAACAATAGGTTATATTTCAAATACAATTAACCGTATTGTTACAACCAATGCAACCCCAATTCAAACCGTCCATTTAGGGGGCGTTTGGTTTGCAGGAATGGAATGGAATTGGAAGGATTTGGATTTGAAATCCATTCCAATCCTGCGTTTGGTTTGTAGGAATGGTAGGATTTAAAATCCTGGGATTCATTTAAAATCCCACCAACACTGAATTTTAGAATCCTTTGAAATACACGGGATTTTGAAATCCATTCCCGTGGAATTTCATTCTTCCCCTTCTCGTCATAGATTACATCGTTGTCTCCTCCATTGCTCACCGTCGCTGTCGCCCTTCGTCTCCGTTGCCACCGTCGTCGCCCTTCGTCTCTGTTGCTCACCGTCGCCCTTCGTCTCCGCTGCTCACCGTCGCCGTCGCCCTTCGTCTCCATTGCCACTGCCGTCGCCCTTCGTCTCCGTTACTCACCGTCGCCGTCGCCCTTCGTTTCTGTCGCCCTTCGTCTCCGTCGCCCATCGTCAACAGGTAAATCCCTTTTCCCCTTTTCCCCTAGAATGTTGCATCAATTTTTTTTCTTCCGGAGATGGTCTCTTCCTCTTCTATTCTGTAGAGGTTGTTCAGTTTCTTACTAAAAATCGGTGGGGCAAGCAGATCATTTATGATGAAGAGGATGAGCTTCAAGAGAATAATTCATCAATTATTTCCGTTGATGGTTTCTTCTCTTCTTCTCTTCTCTTCTCTCCTAAACAGGAGCAATGCCTGCACCCTTATTGCATGAATCTTATTTCATTGTGTTTATAGTAATGAATCTAAATGTGTCTATAGTAATGAATCTAATTGCATTATTGTGTTTATAGTAATGAATTTAATTGCATTATTGTGTTTATGGAGTCAATTTTGAATCTAAATGCATTATTATAATCTTAATACATTAGTATAAGATTCATTTTGAAATGAATTTGAATACGGGGTAGAATATGTACGAAATGTGAAGTGAATTCAAATGCATTATGGTTGTGTTTATAATTTCTTTGCATGGATGCATTTGGTAAATCACATGAATCAACATCATTGCCAATATCACCTTCATTAAAACGTCTTCTAAGACTCTTGCAAACTTATCACCTGCAACAATCAACGATTGCATTGAAGAACCGACTTTGTCGACTAAGTGAATAAACTGATCTTCGGATTCAAAAACGTCTCTCATGTAAACTTCGTTGACAGAATTTAATGGATCCATTAATACTAATTTTAAATGCAAGCGAGGAATTAAGAACCTTAATACTGAACCACCATAAAAAATCGTTGAAGGAATAAACCATCACTTGAAAGAATCAATGAAGGAAGAGACCATCTCTGGAAATTTTTTGATGCAGCATTCTAGAAAAAATCGATGAAGCAAGAGACGTGTATTAACTAGGATATCTCAATATTTTTTAATGCAATCCCATTAATTCTGGATAATTACTATAAAACATTAAAAAAAATCAATAATTATGTTATGTTTAGAATTTCCGATATTACTATTTAACAATTTAAATAATGAAAACAAATGAAATATTAAATGGACTCCCTGACCATAGATTAAAGTATGAATGGATGAGATGAGGATGTATTGATTGTTTGAATAGCAAAATTTGCACAATAACTCTCCTATATATATACTAGAAGGGTACTCGTACAATACATCGAGTTACTTTCGATTTCAATGTTTCGTTTTATTTTTTATCTATGTCGATATAATACGATTTTATGTCTTTTGAGAAAACGATAATGTTCTTTTATTTTTGAATAAAATATAAATTTGAAAATATCATGTAAAATTTTTACAAAAAATATATCAATATTAATATCAAATTAACTATATAAAAGTTCTTGTTTGTGTATTTTTTTAATTCAAATTTTTTTATTATAATTTAATTTAACGTAACAAAGTAACTTAATTTAAGTTTAATAATATATTTTTTTTATAAAGATAATAATTAAGTATTCTGTTAGAACTCAATAATTATCCTAATTATATTTCATATTTTAAAATGAGATGTTTATTTTCTATTTGATTATGTTTATCCACAGTTAGTTACACGAATTCAGACATAGAGCTTTAATAAGTTGTACTTATGCACA